GCAGATGCTCCCCCCCGAAGAGGGCCTTTTGCACCCCCCTTCTTTTTTTTTGCAAAGCTCCCCTCCCTCCCCCTTAATTGCAATGCGGCTTTCTCTGCCCCTCGACTGTTGTCCCTCCGGGCCGGGCTCCTGGAGAGGTCCGGCTTTGGAACAGTGCTCCCTCTAAGCTGAGTGAGTGTGAGCCGGCTCACAGTTTTTTAGCCTCTGGCTCACACCTTTTTTGGCTTAGCCCAGGAAGGAGGGCCCCGGAGCAAACTGATTTATGCAGCGGCCAAATCATTCGCTCACCACTTTAATGCCAGGAGCTCACAACGTAGATCCTGACTTTTTTGAAGGATGGAATGACTTTACCTAGAAAAAAACTGGGATGTGAAGCACAATTTGCTATGTTTAGAACAATATTGAGATTAATCGATGTTATCTTAAGATGTACTGGAGGGTCAAAGGGGGAAACATTGCGGGAAGCCACCAGGAGGGAGGGGGGGATATGGGAATATAGGTATTGGTTTAAGAATGACAATAGTTTTTTTTTTTTAACTGTAGGAGGTTATTTCCATGGAAATAAAAAATTCTTTTACCAAAAAAAACCAACGTAGCATTTTTGCTCAAAAGACTATACAGCTTAGAGGGAACATTGCTTTGGAAGTCGTGGCGGTTTGTGAGCAATGCGCCCTCTGAGCAGTGGAGCCCCGTGAGCAAACATGCAACTTCTGGGAGCCGCTGGCGTGAAAGTTGCAGAGCGGGCCACTTGGCTCCGGCGTCAATCCGTTTGCCCTGGAGGCCCCATCCCTTCCCGAGCGAAGACAAGAATGGGTGAGCCGGAGGCTAAGAGACTGTCAGCTGGCTCACACTAAACTCAGCTTAGAGGGAACACTGTTTGTTATCCCCCTAGAGCAGCGGCATCCCCGCCTCCATTGGCACCCTCACAACGACCCTGGGAGGTAGGACGGGCGGAAAGGCTGTGTGTGTGTGAGAGAGAGAGAGTCTAGGCCAAAATCCCTTAGCAAATAGGGTTGCCAAACTCTAGGTGCCGCAGAAAAGAGCAAGAGTGTTGAGTATTACAAGTTGAAAACACTCAGTACATCTGGGGTTAAATGTTTGTTTATGTTACTCACAGTTACCCTTCCCCATGCTAGAATGTAGTAAAAACCTTTTTATTTTAATCACACATGGACTCTCAGTCTGAATTATTTTACTCAGGCTCTGCTGGGCCATATTATCTCTGCTAAATACCATTTCTTCAATATCTCACTATCACCCAACAAAGAGTCCAGGAGCACCTTAAAGACTAACACAGTTTGTGGCAGGGGAGGAGCTTTCGGGAGTCACCGCTCACTTCTTCAGATACAGCTAGAAGGAGAGTGAGTCCCTCTTGTCCTTGGTTCTCGAGGTTGACAGATTCCCACTCTCCATAGGGCTCAATGGGGTGCCTTCCATGGAGACAGATCAAGATGGGTGACGTGCTAGCCGGCCTGTAGCAGGAGAAAAGAGCAAGAGTCCAGGAGCCCCTTGAGGTTGCGGACTTTCGTGAGTCACTGCTCCCTTCTTCAGTCTGTATCTGTATCTTCTTCAGACTGTATTGGAAGCAGTGGCCGGTCTCCATGGAAGGCACTCCCTTTTCTAGCTGTATCCGAAGAATACAGCTAGAGTCCCAGAAAAGCTGGAGCCATCCAGCTCCTCTGATTCAAATGCGCTTTAAGGTAACCGCGTCCCCTTTCCAGGCTCGACGGGCGTGTCGCTTTAAGAGGAGGCGGGGCCTCGCGTCCCTTCGGCCGAACGGCTTCGCAGGACCCGGATCCGGAAGCGTCAAGGGGAGCCACGTGGGTGGGAGAGCGAGGATGGAGCGGGAGCAGAAGCGGTTCGAGTCCGGCGAGCTCCCCGCGCTGCGCCGGATTGTCTGCGAGCAGGGGCTCCTGTCCCGTCCCGACGGCTCCGCGTCCTGGATGCAGGGTCAGCCTCCAGCCAGCCCTGCCGGTTCCCCCTCGCCCAGGGCTGCCTCCCCCCCCCCTCCCCGCTTCCCTTGCCCCCCAAGTTAAGCAGGCTCAGAAAGCCAGGGGAACCTTTCAAGAATTAAGAACATTTATTGCCCATTCAGGTGGGTGGCTGTGTTGTGTTGGTCGGAAGCAGCAGCAGAATAAAATTGGAGTCCAGGGGGCACCTTAAAGAGCAACAAAGCTTTATTCTGGGTATACATGCTTCCGTGTGCATGCACACTTCTGAAGAAGTGTGCATGCACACGAAAGCTTGTATACCCGGAATAAAACTCAGTTGGTCTTCAAGGTGCCCCCTGGACTCAAGCTCTATTGCAGCTTGGGTTTTTGCTTGTCTTTAAGGTGCCGCTTAAGGGCTGCGTTGGCTCAAGTGGTTAAGATGCTAAACTGCCGACTGGAAGGTCGGCAGTTCGAGGCCCGACTGCCGTGTGACGGAGTGAGCTCCCGTCTCTGGCCCCGGCTCCTGCCAACCTAGCTGTTCGAAAGCAAGAAATTGCAAATAGGTAAATAGGTACCTGTGGTGGCTCAAGTGGTTAAGACGCTGAACTGCAGGCTGCGGAAGGTCAGTAGTTCAGCAGTTCAAGACCCGAGTTGCCACATGATGCAGTGAGCTCCCGTCTCTAGTTCCAGCTCCTGCCAACCTAGCAGTTCGAAAGCAAGAAATTGCAAGTAGATCAATAGGTACCACTTCGGTGGGAAGGGAACAGCGTTCCGTGCACCTCAGCGTCTAGTCATGCCGGCCACGTGACCACGGAAACGTCTTCGGACAGCGCTGGCTCTTCGGCTTGGAAACGGAGATGAGCACCGCAACCCTAGAGTCGGACTTGACTGGGTTTCGAGCAAGGGGAAGCCTTTACCTTAAGGTGCCGCTTAGAGTTGTCAGCTCTGATTTGGGAAATACCTGGAGATTTGGGGGGGGTGGCGCCGGAGGAGGGTGGGGTTTGGGGAGGGACTTCAGTGGGGCAGAATGTCGTAGAGGCCACCCGCCAAAGCAGCTGTTTACTCCCAGTGAAGCGATCCCTGTCCCTCAGAGATCAGTTGAAATCCCAGGAGATCTCTGGCCGCCAGGTGGAGGTTGGCAACCCGAGTGCCACTGGACTAATGCTTTGTTTCACGGTAATGGGCTAGCATGGCCCCCCCCAACCCAGCTCCCAGTTACTAGTCCACAGTTGCTGACTTATAGTGCTTGGGGTTCGGGAAGCTTTACAGTTGCCAGCCACCAGGTGGGGCCTGGAGATCTCCTAGCATGACAGCTGATCTCAGGAGCACAAACATCAGCTCCCCTGCAGGGAAATGGCTGCTTTGGAAGGTGGCCTCTTATGGCGCTATACCCTGCCCCAGTCCTGCCTTTCCCTGGGCCCCACCTCCAAATCTCCACGGATTTCCTGGTTAGCGTTGGTAACCCTAAACAGCTCTTTATTTCCAAATTACTGGCATCCCTTAAGAACATAAGAGACGCCAGTGTTGGATCAGGCCAGTGGCCCATCCAGTCCAACACTCTGTGTCACACAGTGGCCAGAAATACCAGGGGCCATCAGGAGGTCCAGCAGAGGGGCCAGGACATTAGAAGCCCTCCCACTGTTGACCCCCCCCCCCAAGCACCAAGAAGACAGAGCATCACTTGCCCCAGAGTCCCTATCTATATCTTGTGGCTAATAGCCACTAATGGACCTCTGCTCCATATCTATATATCTAATAGCCAAGTTGCCCCTGGAGTGCGGATCGCTAAATCAGCGCTCTGGGGGGCCGGGGGAGGTTTGTGCACACGTGGGCCAGTCCCCACGTGTGCACAAAAATAAAAAAAGTTGAAAAAATTTTCGGGGGGATCCCCCCGAAAGTGACAGAGCGTCCCCTGCGCATGCGCCGCCGCCACCACCTCCTCCTCCTAGGAACCGGCGGGCGGGCGTAGGACTGTGGGGGGGGGGGAGGACCAGCCTCGCTGCCGCCTCCTCCTTTTCGGAGCCGCCGGTAGGCAGGCCGGGCAGGCGGGGGGGGGGAAGACCGGCCTCGCTGCCGCCGCCTCGGGGAGATCGAGGGGGGGATGGAGGAGACCGAGCTCTTCTCCCCTCCCCCGCGAGTATCGCGGGTCCCATTTCTTGCTTTCGAACTGCTAGGTTGGCAGGAGCTGGAACTAGAGACGAGAGCTCACTCCGTCATGCGGCACACTCGGGTCTCGAACTGCTGAACTACCGACCTTCCACAGCCTGCTACCCTTCTTCTTCTTTTTTTGAATTTTGAAATGTTTATTAAGATCTAGTATAACATATCAAAACTGCAAATTTTTTAATTTTGAAACGTTTATTAAGATCTAGTATAACATCTCAACTCGGGTTCAAGTGAGCTCCCATCTCTAGTTCCAGCTCCTGCCAACCTAGCCGTTCGAAAGCAAGGAATTGCAAGTAGATAAATAGGTACCACTTCGGTGGGAAGGGAACAGCGTTCCGTGCGCCTTGGGGTTTAGTCATGCCGGCCACATGACCACGGAAACGTCTTCGGACAGTGCTGGCTCCTCGGCTTTGAAACGGAGATGAGCACCGCAACCCTAGAGTCGGAGTTGACTGGCTTTCGAGCAAGGGAACCTTTACCTTATAACATCTCAAAACACACGATAACTGCAAAACATTATGCAGGAGTCTTGAGGCTCCGAGATTACAAACCAATCGGTTGGTCACCAACAAAACATTAACATACATCTACAGTTATAACATAATAAGATGGTATCAATTCCGCTCCACCTATACAAAAGTGCTGTTTAAACCATACGTTCCAAAGAATTGAGTCAGGTCTGTGGCTACCCTTCTTAAAGAAGGGTACAGTGATTCCTGAAAGCTCCTACCCTGCCAGAATTTTTGTTAGTCTTTAAAGTGCTATTGGACTTTTGTTCTTTTCCCACTTCTTCAAATAAGCTCCTACCCTGAAACACATTTTTTTTAGTCTTTTAAGGTGCTCCTGGACTCTTGCTCTTCTCTGCTGCTGCAAACAGACTAATACGGCTACCGATGCTCCCTCTAAGCTGTGGAGTCTTGTGAGCAAAAATTCTCCTTTGTGAGCAACTGGCATTCAAGTTGTGCACAGGCAATTTGGCTACTGCATAAATTAGTTTGCTCTGGAGCCATCCCTCCTGAGCGAAGACAAAAATGTGTGCGCCGGAGGCTAAAAAACTGGGCGCTGGCTCACACTAACTCAGCTTAGAGGGAACACGGGCGGCTACCCACCACGATCTGTTTCCAGGTTAAAAATATTACGGATGTTTTCTTGCTAGCAATTGGTTTGTTCCTGCTACCCTTTCCCCCCGGCTATAAACGTAGACGTCCGTTATCTGTTTCGGCAGCCTCTTTGCTTTCTGGGCGGCAGAGGCCCAGAGAGTGTTTGGGGAAAGGCTACGCCATATAATTTCGCCTACAAATAGAAATCCAGTGTTTTCGCCCTTCCCGCTCTCCACCTCCTGCGGGCTGGGGATGTAGGCCAGAGAAGCTGGGGTTCAGCCAAGCGCTCGTGCCCACCTGCTTCCCTGTTTCTGCTTGCTTCCAGGGGACACATCCGTGTTAGTGGGTGTCTATGGACCGACGGAAGTCAAGGTCAGCAAGGAGATCTATGACAAAGCTACCTTTGAAGTGATGCTGAAGCCCAAAATTGGGCTACCAGGTAACAAATATTGGCCCCGGTCACACGGTGAAGTTGCCGCGGGAGAGGCACGGGAGTCCCGTAGATTTTCCAGGTGCAATCTCACCCGAACATCTGGGAAGCGCAGTGCTCCCGTGGCTCCCCGGCCGAAGGTGCGGAGTTAAAAACTAGTACCTATGAGGTACTAGTTTCCTGAAACCGCGGGCCAAGGGTGGGCGTCTGATTGCGTTCTCGGTGGACTTGCGTGGCATCCGGCGCCCGCCGCTGTTCGTCTCTGCAGGTTGCGCAACAGCGGCCAACAGCGCATGCACACAAAGAGCGATTGCTAGTGCGATCGTGTGGCACGGCTTCTGTGCCGCGCTGCAGGATACCCGTCTGATCGGCATTTTCCCCGAATCACGGGACCTCGACCGGGACGTGTGCTCGGGCAGCTGCACGTTAGTTTCCTCCAGGGCAATTAGCCACACCTCCCCTCCCCCCATATCTGGCCCGTGTGACCGGGGCCATTGGCTTTAATGTAAAAATAAATGAATCAACTTGCCTTAGAAGCACAGTAGCTTTAGGCGGTGTTCTCGATCCTCCACATTTCCCGGTTAAGGGGGAAAAGGCTGTTCAAACAGATGAGAAAGATGATCGGACTCCAGGGGTAACAAGAGAAAGAAGTTTTACTTACCGAAATAGCAGCACATCTTACATGACGTATTCGTGTAGGTATCTTTAACTGACTGTGGACAGATTGGCTTCAGAAAGGTTAACTTGCTGCAGCTCCGAGCCCAGGTAAGAGAGAGAAGAAGAAGAGATTGGATTTATACCCCATGGCCCTTCACTACCCAAAGGTGTCTCAGAGCGGCTTACAAACTCCTTTTCCCTTCCCCTCCCCACAACAGACACCCTGTGAGGTAGGCAGGGCTGAGAGAGCTCTTGACAGAAACGGCTCTTTTTCAAGAACTGCTCTTATCAGAACTACGGCTTGCCCAAGGTCATCCAGCCAGGTGCAAGTGGAGGAGTGGGGAATCAAACCCGGCTCTCCCAGGTTAGAGTCCGTGCACTTAACCACGACACCAAACTGGAGAGAAGAAGAGAGGTCGTATATGTATGATGAAGCGGAAGGCAAGCAACCAAAGAGGCTCAGCATCTAACCCAGGAGAGGGTGGCGCCAACTGCCAAGTGTGCCCTAATGAGGGGATCCTTTTAACCCTTTCCCTCCCAGATCCTCTTGCATGCAGAGTTACAGTATCCAACAGCAATTTCCAGTGTTGCAAAAGTATCCAGATATAGCACCATAGAGCAGGGAAGGGACCTCCAGTGTCATCTAGTTCAACCCACTGCACAATGCGGGATATTCACAGATACTTCCCCACCGCCACCCCCAGAGACCTCTGCTCTATCCCCAGAAGAGCCAGTTTGGTGTACTGGTTAAGTGCGCGGACTCTAATCTGGGGAAACCGGGTTTGATTCCCCCACTCCTCCAATTGCACCTGCTTGGATGACCTTGGGCAAGCCGTAGTTCTGATAAGAAAAAACACACAAAATCCTGTGATGTGAATACTATTAAGAAGATTTATATAATTTGTTAGACTTTATAAAATTGCAAAAGATTTTGTCAACATCCTAATTTGTACAATATTGTAAATAAAAAGTCCAATATAGTCCAACATAATGAGTACCCGGTATGAACTCATTTCAACTTTTACAGTCTTCCTCAGATGTAAGTCTATATTGTAAGGGGAGGTCAGCTTCTTAATCCAGCTCAATATTGTAATTGCCTTCTGATAAGAGCTGTTCTTGAAAAAGAGCAGTTCACAGTCAGTTAAAGACACCTACACGCTGGGTGACCTTGGGTCGGTCACAAGTTCTCTCAGAGCTGTTCTCTCCAGGGCAGTCCTCTCAGCGCTCTCTCAGCCGCACCTACCTCGCAGGGTGTTCGTTGTGGGGGGAGGAAGAGACTCCGAGGTAAGGGTTCGGTGTAAATCTAATCTTCCCCTGTGCGATCCCTGTATTGCCCCTCCCTAGGAGTCACCGTTTCTTCCTCCCTCCGTGCCTCCCGCGTGTCCCTCCACCCCCCACCCCCTCGGATGAGTTGTCCTCCTCCCTTTCAAAATGTCAACGCTGTTAAACGAAGAAAGAACGTCTTTCAATTGAGATGTCAGCATCGAGGCATTGGCGCGTCCCCCCGCCTCCTCCTAATTGAGATTGGCCGTGTGCGCGCGTGCTTTCCACCCCGCCCGCCCACCGAGAAGGAGCGTAATCAAAAGGTGATAGGAGCTGTTATCTCCGCCACCACGCAGGCCATCTGGAATCCTGCGGCGATGCCATCTGGAACTCTTGTTCGCTCCGCAGGGAGCTAGTGGCAGAAGAAGAAAAATTCTCTGCTCCTTTCTTTTCCCTCCTGCTGAGATTTCCCCCCCCCCCACTGCTGTGAAATCTCTGGCTTTTCTGCAAATAATTAAATTAAGAAACAAAAGTATCTCGGCAACAAAAGATTAAAAAAAACCCAAACCCTGGAAACGTTGCTGATCCTCTCCAAAACGGATGGCGTTCCAGGCAGGCATCTGCGTGCTTTGAGGCACTGAGTGCTTAAGAAAGTAATGTTGTTATATATATATCATTTTGAAGGAATATATTTTTAAACACTCAACTATGTACAGTTTGACGCAGCTCACAAATGCTGATGGGAGATAATTCTTATTTATAACGACGTTCTTGTAGTGAAAGTCGTTTAAGAAAAGAAAAAAGAAAAGAGAAACAGGAGTTGAAAAATGTCAAGGGCTTAGCAGTAGAGAAAAGCTGACAGCTTAGGGAACTTCATCCTGCTTCCAACTTTGTGCATAGGTCATTCTGGCAGTCACAATCATATACCACATAAATGTCCTTTTCGCCACACTCATTTTGAGTCTCAAAAGTAATTTCTGGTCCTCTAAGCTGAGTTAGTGTGAGCTAGCTCACAGTTTTTTAGCCTCCGGCTCACACATTTTTGTTTTAGCTCAGGAAGGATGGCTACAGAGCAAACCAATTTAATGCAGCCGCCAAATCACTCGCTCACAGCTTTAATGCCAGTAGCTCACAAAGTAGAATTTTTGCTCACATGACTCCACAGCTTAGAGGGAACATTGGTCGTAGGTATAGGAACTCAGTTCAAAAGTTCAGTGGAAGTGAAATATTGTTTCTTAGACTGTACTTTCCTCTGTGTTTCATTCTTATAAATAAAAGTTTTCTTGTTTTGATTTTAAAAATTTAACCTTTGACGAGAACCATCGCTGAGCGGTCCGTCTTAAGGTGGGTGTGAGCTTTGGGGTTTCACACCTGGTTCGTCTCCTTTGCCAGGGGTCTACGAGAGAAGCCGGGAACAGATGATCAAGAAGACATGCGAGGCGGCCGTCTTGGGGACCCTGCATCCCCGTTCCTCCATCACGATAGTGCTTCAGGTAGTCACAGACGGCGGTTCTGTATCCTTTTCCTCGTCTTTGGTGTCTGGGAAGATGCTGTGGTCTTGGAGCGGTATAATTGCCGGAGGGTAGGCCTAAAGAATGTTTGTGTGAGTAAACACAAAAGAAAATTCTTTTAAGGCGGGTAGCCATGCTTGTCTGTAGCAGGAGCAGGAGTCCAGAAGCGCCTGAAAGACTAACGAAATGTGTGGCAGGCGAGGAGCTTTCAGGAGTCACTGCTAGAGATGTGAAGGCCCGGGAAAAAACCAGAAAAATTCGGGGGGAAATGGTTTTTTCCCAAAAAATTGAAAAAATTGAAAAAAGAAAAAAATTATTATGGAACGTTTCATTTTAACATGATGAATAAAGTATTTTAAGACAAGGTGTTCAAATATTTTCCAAATAATTTCTAATATATATATATGGTATCAGATTGATCTAATTTCTGTGCACTGAGGACAAGCAAGTCCTAGGTTACAAACTGAACCCTCCAATGCAAGAACAAGATGCATTTCTTCCTTTAGGAGGTGCGATTGTCAGAAGAAAATAAAAAAGTTTCAGTTTTGTTTTTGCATGTGGGTGGGTACTCTGTTTGAAATAATTGTTTGGACACACTATATTTTTAATATGCTAGTTGTGATAATTTCATGCCAAGTAAAAATGTCCATAGTCATATTTTATGTTCCTAAAGTAACAGAATGACTTTCAATCTATAAAAGACAAAAGAAATGCTAATGTAGCATTTTTTTTTTCAATTTTTCTGAAAATTTTCGTTTTTCCCCCGGAAAAAATCAGGTTTTTTTCCGAGCTTCAAAATTTCCAGAAATTTTACATCTTTAGTCACTGCTCACTTCTTCAAGATGGGTCACCGTGTTTGTCTGTTTGTAGCAGGAGAAAAGAGCAAGAGTCCAAGAGCACCTGAAAGACTAACAACATTTTGTGGCAGGGGAGGAGCCTGCGTGAGTCACTGCTCAGTTCTTCAGCTACTTGGTACATACTTTGGTGTGGCATTGTGGGGGTATCCCATCATTCTTTGCGTATATCCATCAGTCCATATGCGCTCTCACTTTGACAGCACGGCTCGATTCGAGTCCAGTAGCGCCTTAGAGAGACCAACAAGATATTTTGACAGCCGTGAATCTGTGTTTTGGACGTAACGGCCACCGTAGTAATTGTCGAAGACTTCAGCTACTTGGTACATACTTTGGTGTGGCATTGTGGGGGTATCCCATCATTCTTTGTGTATATCCATCAGTCCATATGCGCTCTCATTTTGACAGCACTGTTCAATTCCAGTCCAGTAGCGCCTTAGAGACCAACAAGATATTTTGACAGGCGTGAATCTGTGTTTTGGATGTAACGGCCACCGTAGTAATTGTCGAAGAGTTGCTTCCCCATTAGCCTTTCCCTCCCCCCCAGCTGCAACACATTCCTTCCCTCCGTGCGAAGGTGAGGCCTCAGCCTACTTGCCTTTTGAGGAGATTGCTTTTCCTGGCAGCTGCCATCTAGGCCAGCCAAAAGTGGCTGAAGAACATAAGGAGAGCCCTGCTGGATCAGACTAGGGGCCCATCTAGTCCAGCATCCTGTCTCTCAGACGGAGGCCAACCAGTTCCTCTGGAGGGCCAACAACGAGGCCAAAGCCTTCATAAGAACCTAAGAAGAGCTCTGCTGGATCAGAGCAGTGGTCCATCTGGTCCAGCATCCTGTCGCACACAGTGGCCAACCAGTTCCTCTGGAGGGCCAACAATGAGGCCAAAGCCTTCATAAGAACCTAAGAAGAGCTCTGCTGGATCAGAGCAGTGGTCCATCTGGTCCAGCATCCTGTCTCACACAGTGGCCAGCCAGTTCCTCTGGAGGGCCAGCAACAGGGCAGAGAGGCCGAGGCCATCATAAGAACATCAGAAGAGCTCTGCTGGATCAGACCAGTGGTCCACCTAGTCCAGCATCCTATCTCACACAGGGGCCAACCAGTTCCTCTGGAGGGCCAACAACAGGGCAGAGAGGCCGAAGCCTTCCCCTGATAAGAACATCAGAAGAGCCCTGCTGGAT